ATTGTCATACTGGTTCATTTTCTCCTGATGTGACCTTTGTCCCATAGCTGACTTATCACAACTGTTTAGCATGTTTGTTCTGTTCGCGAATATTGCAACCCTCTGAATGTGTTTCCTGTTGCAATAATTGTGTTCAACCGAGTATGCTACTGCCTTGCTATATTTAACCACTGGCGAAACACGTAGACTGCCAACACGTCGTGCAACGGAACGAAATGCGAATGGTTATGTGGAATTCGTGTTGTTTTCCGCGGTCGTCTCAGTGTTGTCAGCTATTTTACTGCTCATTTGCTCAAATCGGTGGCTCCACAACAATAATCAGCAGCACGCGACACAATTCGGACTCCAAAGCCAAAGTTTTATCATGGGAAATACTTACAAGTGGTTGCTTTTCTAGTCCCATAGGATTTGGCACAGATGAATCGGTTCACAGGTCACACGAAGTAGATGGATGTCACAATTTGTCATTTTTTCGTGCTCTTCTACGAATGTTGAAATTTAAGACTTTTCAAAGCTTCATCCGGTTTGGGCTTGAATGAATCAATTGTGGGTGCAGAAACAACGTGCGGTGGTAGAGAATTCCAAGTAATGCACACTCTGAGGGTGAATGAATGACGTCGGCATTTTTGGAGCACTAATTTGAATGAGTGCCCCCCCCCCATAGGTGAGTGTTTGGTGACAAGGAAAGGAATGGACGACATGGGTGATCTGGGTTCTGCATTATTTGGTATACCAAGATCAGGTCTTCTCGAATGCGGCGATACTGTGTGGAGTACAGTTGCAGTGACTCCAGTCTTTCCGCATAACTCTTGGAATGCAGTCCCTTGACCGTTTTGGTGACTATTCTTTGTGGACATTCCAGAATCTTCTGATCGCGTTGCAGCCATGGATTCCATGCTTGAATGGTGTACTCTATGTGGGGTCGAATGTAAGCTGATAACAATCGTGGGAACAGTGTAGGTTTAAATTTACCAAATACTCGTTTTAGCAAACCAACATGTCTTACAGCGGTAGACGACGCCGGGGAGCAGTTTCAAGAACCACTTAGGTCTTGAACAATAACGCCGAGATTCTTCCCGTTCGAGACGTACGGAATTTGTTGATCTCCTAGGAAATACGGAAACCGAGTTTTGTGTCGTGGAAATCCTGGCCCGTAATCACACTATGTCTATCATGAGACGGAAACGCAGCGAGAGAGAGAGAGAGAGAGAGAGAGCGAGAGAGAGAGAGAGAGAGAGAGAGGACAGACAAAGTGAGTCGAGCTGGGCCGGATCAATAACTAGACCGATTTGGTGGGTCCAAAATTCAAACAAAATGCAATGCGAATCATTCAATCATAGAATTAGGGAAACCCAATGAGATCGCTGTAATGTGGACACCGGAATCATATGGCACGTGTGGGGATCCGCGATAACTCACTCTGAAATGACAGTAATGAACGTTTGTTTGCCTCCAGCTCTTGATTGCGCACCTTCCGTCATCAGTCACGCACACGAAGAGAGAATGCGGCTGCCACATACAAACGTTTATTCTGGCATCCGTACTGCTGACAACATGCCTGGACCGCTCGGTTTCAATGCCCGTTACATCGCAAACTTTTAAAAATTCCGCTAACAGCGGGGTTGAACAACAAAACAAAACGTGCAAATTTCTCTATTTGACGGATCTTGCTATCCATGCTATCATCACAACATATTAGATCTGGCGAAAATCATGTCCATATTAAATGTGAAAAGGAATATATCGCTTGTTTATCATTCTGAATAAATAAAAGTCTAGTGTGGGTCTGGGTTTCGCCCCCTTCTGGCTTCATTCTGTCCATCCTTGTGGAGTGCATTTCAACGCGGTGGAATTACTGTGTGATGCATGACAAAGCGCTGTGGATAACTGTGGAATTGCCAGTAGGCTTATCCAATCCCAGTGTGGTAAATTAATTTAGTCATTCGATCAAGATGTAGACCGCGGGCCATATGGCACCTACTCCCAATCCGTTAGTCCGCGGTCCGAGTTTTTAGGGGTCGTGGGGTGACAAGAATGACGAACTGCCGACGAGTCCCAACAAGAACGAAACACGTACCTGGTGTGAACCATCTCAAAATAATTGCATGACATGGTAAAAATGAGCTGCAAGCAAGTATGATTATGGATAGTATACCTTTATTCGCTTCACGAATAAAGTCACGATCTACGGGATGCTCACGACTCCATTCTTCGTTAGAACGGTTGACTTATCGAACCAAGAATTTTCACCGATGAAATACAGACTGTTTTTGAAATTTAAAACAAATGACTGATATTCTCAAACAATACTGTTCATCTAGTCTGAATTACCTTGCTTCATTCACGCCTGTATATATCGAGTACTGATCAAGTTGAATACTGTGGAATAAACCCGCTTTTTCCGTTGCCAAGGTCGAATTATCCCGGGAACATCGGTTTTCTTGACCCCTGTCTTCTCCCTTTTCATCCACCTCCTCTCGATTGCATCACTCAAAGTTAGACAATTAATCCTTTTGTTCTTTCCGTTTAGTTGCACTATTAGTTTTTTGTTTTCTACTTCTGAACTCATTAGTAGTGTCGCTACGGTTACTTGGTGTTTTTTCCCCCGTAAAGTTGACTGCCACCGATGTGTTGCACCAACGTTTGACCGTTTTTAGCTACCTTTGTACTAATTAGCATTTTCTTCCATTTCTTGTTTCACGTCCGCGTCTGTCTGTCTGTTTGTTTGTACGGCCGGATAAAATGTATTTAAGCACGGCACAAAAGTCGTGACTCGAATCCCCTCGGATCATGATGGCTCTGTTGCCGTATTGGAACAGCAGAAAGTGGATTTTGTGTAAGTTGACAAACGTTGTTCAACCGAATTGTTCTTATCACGGATTCGTTCGTCGAGAGGTATTTGCATTTTTCAAGGCTCCGGTGGACGTCGCCGCCGGAACGCGAATACGTAATGGAATTAGAGGCTTATCCATTCCACCCACCCACCGCGTTTCACAATCACAAGACGTTACGGACTTTCAGTGTGTACGTACATACAGAAAAAATACACTGACACATCCCGAAGTCAACAATTTGAGTCCTGGTTTCAATTTCATTCTCGATGGCAGTATCAGCAACGCCATCTTACTTGTCCACTTCGTCAGTTTCATCACCCGTTCTCGCTAGATTGTGTATACGTTCGAGAACTGTGCGTTGGACGCTCGTTTGTTTTGCGGTCCACACGTGAATCTGATTATGCTGTTGTCGAAACAACATACTCTTAGAATTTTCTCACCGTGTGTTCGGCACAGTATCAAATCATCAGTGTATAAGAACAAGCTCGTTTGCCGGGATTCATCTACCAGTCAATGCATCACAATTTATCTGACAAAATGTGAAGAAAAATATTGACCATTTCACCCCCATGATCGGATAATGATATTGCTCACACTTAGGGTCATCGCACACGCATTAGTTCGAGTCATTGGGGCCTGGTGGGGTGATAACTAGATTTTGTGTGTGTGTGTGTGTGTGTGTGGTGTAGGCCATGGAAAACCGATTTTTCTCGCAAATATTATGAGTATATCGGGAGTGAGGAGGGGAATTATGTAGCCGGTTCCGATCACATGTGTTACGTGCACGTCACCAGACAGGTTGCCACTGCGGGCGATGATTGTCGAGACAGGTAGCGGCTGGAAAAAAGTCAAAGGTGGTCAAGCTAAGATCTGGCACGAGGGTATGAAAATCCTAGCCTGGGGACTGGATCACATAGGTCCCGTTAGGTTCCCTGGCCGGTGAACCTCAGCATGATCGTACCCGA